GAAGGTTCTTTGGCATTTTTTACTTTCACCCTATTAGCAGTTCCTTTCTTTTGGAATTTGATGTCACCACCTGAACTTGGATCAAAATGGAATTATATGGGAGGCTCGTTTATTTCTGCTCTGGTCGGTACCTTTTTGGAATCTATTAGTCCTATGGGTACCGATAATCTTACCGTTCCTTTAGGTGTTAGTTTTGTTTTGTCGATTTTGGGTTATTAGTTGGAAACCCATTTACATTCTTTTATTTATTCATTTATTAGGTTGTCATTATTGTATTTTTATTAATTTATTTGTTATTTTTTTTTTTTTTGCGAAGACATACATACTAAAATTATTTTGCACTATTCCTGACAAAATAATGTGAATCATTGTTATATATAGGATTCGTAAAGTCTGAGTTGTCGGGTGATCGACATTATTATAAAATTTTCTTATTTACTGTATATTAAGTCCTGAGTATAAATTTATTATATGTCTGAATAGTTTGAGTAAAATCAAGTTTTTTATCCTAATTACATGACAGAAGAATGCAATATAATGAAATTAACAGTATATAAGTATATAGCCAATATATGTAATAAAATAATATTTATAACAAAAATTTGAAAAAATAAAAATTTATAAAAATTCGCAATTATTTTATAAACTAGCGAGTATTCCCGGGCTATTCTCCGGGTTTGGTTATTTGAGTTTTATTTTTTTTTAAAATCATAGTTATATTTTATTTTTATTTTTTTTGAATTTTTTTTTAATTTTTAATTTTGTCATATTTCAGTTTATATTGAAATAGTGAGTTTCCTAGACTATATAATTTTTTAAACCATAACTGTTTCTTTATTGATAATTAAATCTTAAGCATAATGTTAATTATTTTGTATATTATATATACAGATTAATTATAATCTATTGTGACTTGACCTAGACAGATCTACTTATCTCTCAAGTAAGAAGATACACTTGACTAAAACAGGATGGTTGCTACATAGTAATTAATGGTGCTATTGATATAGCTGATCTAGAACTATATACACTACCTGAACAAAAGTATCACATATCATTTATTTATTAATTACATAAAATTTTACATAATAATTTTATTTAAAATTTTAATATGTTATATTTATATAATGAAATATCTATATATAAATCAATATTCTGTTGGCCATCCATTATTCTTAATAACTGCTTTTATTCTTTATGGCATACTTTTTATATAATTCATTAATTGATTTTTTGAAATTTTACTCTATTCTTTTTGTAATATAGTTTCTAATTTTTTTAAATTTTTTATATTTTCTAATCTATTTCTTATTTTTCTTTCCAATTCAGATCACAAATGTTTAATTGGATTTAAATCAGGAGATTGACTTGATTAACCAGGTAAAATCTTAATTTTATTTTCTAAAATTCATTGTTAAACATCTTTAGTAGTATGAATTGAAGCATTATCATTTTGAAACAAATATTTCTTATAATTAAAATTACTATTAATTTAAGATAATAAATGTTTCTCAAGTATTTTAATATAATCTAATCTATTTAATTTACCACTTATTTTTACTAATGGACCTAATTCTTTACCTAAACAACATCTCTATATCATTATTTTTCCACCTCCAAATTTACTGTTGGAACCATATTTTCAATATTATATCTTATATTAGAAGTTTTCTAAACATGATCAGGATCATTATTTTTAATTATAAATTTGATTTCATCACTCCATATAATAGTTTTCCATTTTTAAACTGTCCAATTTTTTCTTTCAATATACTATTTTAGATGATTTTCTTTTTATTGATTATTTAAAAGTGATTTTTGAGTTGATATATAAGAAAAAATATTTATTTCATGCAAATTTCTTCTAATTGTTTTGATAGAAACTTCAATATTAGTTTATTCAATAAATTTGTTTCTAATTTATTCTGCAGATTTCTTGTTATTT